AGGCAGCTGGTCACTGATTTTCTCTCATCATTGATGCTTCTATCTCTCTCTTGCTCCCCTTCTCTCTGAAATCAATAAAAATATTTTTTAAAAAAAGAAAATAGTTAGACATTACCCAGTAAAGTTGAGTCTGAGCATACCCTTTTTCAGTAATGTCATTCCTAGATTGAACAGCTTTGAGACACTCTTGCACATGTATACCAGGAAGTAGATAACAAGATGGGCTATAGCAGAAAAATAGAGGGGGGACGACTGCAAAAAACTCAGATATTCATTTATACAACTGAATACTCTATAGAAATGAAAATGAAAGAAGTACAGCTTTAAGCATCAACTCAAAACAATCTTAAATGAAAAATGCAAGTCACACAAGGATTCATGCTGTATGAGCCCATACATATAAAATACAAAATAAAAGGGCAAAACTGAAACTCTTAAGGATATGTACATTTAAGGTAAAATGTAGAGGAAAGCCAGAGAATAAGTAATTCAAAATTCAGTACAATGGCTACTACTTTTGAGGAGGGAGATGCCCTGGCATGGGGAACACGAGGGTACTAGTAATGGTCTCTCTCTGAAGATAGGCATTCATTTTATTATTTTTTAAGCAATCTATATAAAACCCTAATATGCAAATAGACCGAACGTAACCAAACAACTGTTCGCTATGACGTGTGCTGACCACCAGGGGGCGCGCACAGAATGTGGTGTGCATTGGCTGTGGCAGGATGGTGGAACAGGTGAGCAGGGGTGCCAGACCAAGGCAGGGCACTGTCGCTGTCATTGGGGTGAGCCTCTGGTGGTTACTGAAAATTCTTTGCTCCTACATGCCGCTCGCACCTGCTGCCAGTGCCAGGCACCAGCCCTGATCGCCCCTCAAGTCTTCTCCACCTCCCCCTGCTCCTGAGGGGCGATCAAGACCAGCAGTTGCCTTTGGAACCTGCTGCCGGCACCCGGCACCAGTCCCGATCACTTGGCGCTGTCAACAGGTTTGAGCGGCGGCTGCCAGCCCCAATCGCCCCTGAGGTCTTCTCCACCTCCCCCTGCTCCTGAGGGGCAAGTGGGGCAGCAGTCCCTGCTCGCACCTGCTGCGGGTGCTGGCCCCAATTGCTCCACGCCAGCAACGGGTGCGAGCGGGGCCAGCGCCGTCAGTGCGTGGGAGTGGTGGCAGCGGGAGCGGGGCTGCTGGCAGACAGGGGACCAGGGGCACTAGCTCGAGGGACCAGGTGGGGGCGCGGAGGATGGGTTGTGACCCACCCCTAGGCCCACCACAGCCTCACTGCCCACAGTTCCTTTCAAGGTGCACAAATTTGTGCACTGGGCCCCTAGTTTTATATATAATAAAAGAGAAACATGTAAATTGACCATTCCTTCACTACACTCACCAGCCAATCAGGAGTGAATATGCAAATTAACCCAACAAAGATGGGTTAATTTGCATACACAGGCGCCGGGCAGAGAGCAGAGTGGGAGAGCCGGAGGCTTGGGGGGCCATGGCAGAGTGGGAGGCTGTGGGACGGAGACAGGGCAGGAATGGAAAACCTAGAGCACGGGGAGCACCAGGAATGCTGGGAATCATAGTTCGGGTGGCAGACGGATCTCCTAGACACTAGAGCAAAGTGAGCCTGCAGCAAGTTACTGTTGCGGCGGGGGATGGAGGGAAAGCAAAGGTGAGAGACATAAGTAAAATCAGAGTGTCTAGGAAAAATTAAAGGGAAGATATCCTAAAACTTCCAGGAAATCTCCACCAATGAAGCAAAGGGGGGAAAAAGCCTCTATTATTCTGTGAGCAACAAACCAAACTGGGTTAGGGGGTCTCAGACAATTTGCTCATATGATTGCAAAGACAGACAGAAACTCCCGGAATGGAGAGGGCTCCCCTGAGGGTTCCCAGATTGGAGAGGGTGCAGGTCGGGCTGAGGGACCCACCCCCAGTGCACGAATCTTCGTGCACCGGACTCCTAGTAGTATATAAAGATGTTGTGTATGACAGTTTATACTTGGAATAAAAAGCAATCTATTGGAGTAAACTATTTTACTCATTCTAAGGAATGTCATGTTTCCGACCTATAAAACCTGGGTGATATATATTGCCTTTGTTCTGAATATCTCATTCCTATCATATTGTCTATTACAGTACCCTCTTAGTTGGATGACCATTGAATTTATGGCCAAGGCTGGGATACTTTTGAGAGTAAAGAAAAGAGATGCTCAAAATAAGTATTTTTTGAAATATTTATTGACTAAGAAATTACCTCTATTATATACAGTTATGTGCTGCTTAACAATGGGGATAAGTTCTGAGAAATGCATCATTGGGCAATTTCATCATTGTGTGAACATCATAGAGTGCACTTACACAAACCTAGATGATACAGCCTACTCCACACCTAGGCTATATGACTTAGCCTTGCTCCTAGGCTACAAGCCTATACAACATGTCACTGTACAAAGCAACATATGGTTAAATCAAACACAAGAGAAAATTATGGTATCAAGAGATGCAGTAAACAAGATGGGTGAGGCATTTTACAGCAATGGTTTTGTGTTTTTTTAAGAAGAAAGAATACACTTTAAAATAATATAGTAAATACATAAACCAGGAACAAAGTCATTTATTATCATTATCAAGTATTATGCACTATATCTAATTATATGTGTTATGCTTTTATACCATTGCCAGAACAGTAGGTATAGGTTTGTTTACACCAGCATCACCAGAAACACGTAAGTAATGTGTTGGGTTATATATTACAAGGGCTACATTAGGTGATAGGAATTTTTTAGCCCCATGATAATCTTATGAGACCATCATTGGATATTCAGTCCATTGTTGACGGCACATGACTGTACTGTAAACTTCAGTATATTATATTAAACTATATTGAAAATGTATTTTTATATTGATTTTCCAAACATTAAAAAATAGCATAAAGCAAATAATTACTTTTGGTACATATTCTTAAACTTTTATCAATTTCTTACCTTTGTCTCAAATGTCTGTTTATGAAGGGAATATTTTTTTCAGTGTGGTCTAATTTTTTATCTTCTAAAATTGCATGCCACCTTCTTTAAAATTGCATTTTATGGTTACTATATTTGGTAGTGCTGATACTTTCCATTGACTCTTCTCTGCAGACGGTATTATTTTTAATTGAGAAAATACACTCTCAGGATACTTGTTAAGCTTGCTATCTTAAAGTTGGAAATACAAAGTAGAGGTTTACCAAACTTAGTAATGATAACAATAATTTTTTTAATGGAAAAATTTAGGATAACTGCTAAATCTATGTGGTGTTAGTAGAACAGGTGTAAGCCAGATCTGTCTTGGGCAATTATACAAAATGCCTGTAATTTAACATCTGCATAAGCACAATTATGTTAATTTGCTTTTTATAGGACCCAGGTGGTTGCTAGTCACTTCATTAACTGACAGACCCCTGTGGTGAACCTTCATTTCTTCTTGGGAGATGAAAACACCTAAAAGGATCCATAAAATGTTACTGAATTGAGGAGGAAAATATATTACTTAAAATATGGTATTAAGTTGGGAAAACAAGGGGGGGAACGGTAGCAAAGGAAATATGTATATCCAAACTTTGAAATACTGGGCGTTTTGCAGCCAAGAAAAATTTTAACATCATTAAGTCTAAAGATTATTTTTTATCCACACAGAATATTTGTGTTGTTGTGCCGAAACCGGTTTGGCTCAGTGGATAGAGCGTCGGCCTGCGGACTGGAGGGTCCCGGGTTCGATTCCGGTCGGGGGCGTGTGCCTGGGTTGCGGCCACATCCCCAGTGGGAGATGTGCAGGAGGCAGCTGATCGATGTTTCTAACTATCTATCTCTCTCCCTTCCTCTCTGTAAAAAATCAATAAAATATATTTAAAAAAAAAAAAAGAATATTTGTGTTGTTGTTAATCCTCATCTGAGGATATTTTTTCTATTGATTTTTAGAGAGAGTGGAAGGGAGGGGGAGAGACACAGAGAGAGAGCATCAATATGAGAGACACATCAATTGGGTGCCTCCCGCACATGCCCTAACCAGGGCCAGGGATCGAGCCTGCAACTGAGGTAGGATCGAGCCTGCAACTGAATCAAACCTGGGACCCTTCAGTTCCCAGGCCAATGTTCTATCCTCTGAGCCAAACTGGCTAGGGCACACATAGGAACATTTTATGAGACAAATGATCCACATATATGGCTAAAATTCATAAAAATACTTAATTTTTGCTTCACTTTTTTACTTTATCCTTTCCTATATAACAGTCCTGTGGGTAACTGGAAATATGCTGCTTATTGAGTCACCTCATAGCTTTTGGGGAGAGATCCACACAGTAAGGAAATGGTGAAGGTCCTTCTGTAATCAGATTCTCCTGACCAACCTTGTCAGTTAGTGGGTGACATAGCATGGTTTTGAGTATTTTACTTGACGTTTTATAGTGTTGTATTTTTTCCTTTAAAAGCGCCTTTAAATTTTTTTTAACGCACTTTTCAAAAAAATTTTTTTCCCAATGGCAAGAGGCCGCCATTCCTTCTATGGGGAATGCAATGGTATCACCCACCCCATGTTAATGTTGAGTCAGAAAATAATGTTCTTCTAAGTAATTTACAATAAAACAACTGTACCTTAAACATACTGTGCTTAAGCAAAGTAACAATCATTTGAAAGCCATTGATGGAAAAATTTGTATTTTAGCACAAATTATATAATCCTTTTCCCCCTAAAACTTAGTTATCAGAAAATCTAAATTCTGTCAAATAGACATTTTTATGGATTTGAATTTTATTTTCTCCTTCCCCTCTTTTTCTCTCAGTTTCTTTTTGTTGTTGTTAACAAAAGACAAAAGATAAAGGCATTGAATGATCCATAGAAAAGGGTGGTGTGTGATATAAGGTCAAAGAATATATGACATGGAAATTACATTTCATTTAACCTAATAATAGATCTAAGTAGGTGGAGATGATGTTTTAAATGTTTTTGTCTCTTCTCTCCATAGTTTAAAAAAAAATAGAAATCACTTCTGACTACATTGAATAGCAAAAACGAAGTGACACTGCAGACCATGGCACTACCATTCCGGAAGGACTTAGAAAAGTACAAGGACCTGGATGAAGATGAGCTCCTTGGGAATCTATCAGAAATAGAACTGAAACAACTGGAAACTGTGCTGGATGATCTTGACCCTGAGGTAGGTGATAGCTAATGAAGAAAAATGAAATAATTTTTCAAACCCTTTGAAACTAAGTAGCTGCCTTTGAGCAGTTAACTTATTTTTTTTATTGAATTTATTGGGGTGACATTGCCCCCCCCATGTATATGTATAATTTATTTTTTTATTGAATTTATTGGGGTGACATTGGTTAATAAAATTATAGGTTTAAGGGGTACAATTCTATAATACAGCGTCTGTATATTGTATTGTGTGTTCATCACCCCAAACCAAGTCTTCACTGACACCTCTTTATTTAAATTAACTTTTTGTCTCTTCTCCAGTTTTCCCCTTCTACCTCCATATCTTTACTGACATGACTGTTCTATTTTATATATATTTTATTGATTTCAGAGATGAAGGGTGAGGGGAGAGAGAGAAGGAGAGGGAGAGAGAGAGAAAAACATCAGTGATGATGACAGAGAATCATTGATCGGCTGCCTCCTGCACACCCCACACTGAGGATTGAGCCTGCAACCAGGGCATGTGCCCTGACTGGGAATCAAACAGTGACCTCCTGATTCAGAAGTCGACAAACCATGCCAGCCGGGCAATATACTTGTTTTGTTTTTTAATTGATTTAGGAGAGAAGGAGAGAGAAACATCAACTGTTGTTTAACTTATTTATGCATTCATTGATTCTTATGTGTGCGCTGGCCCAGCATCAAACCCAGCAACCTTGGTGTCAGGATGATGCTCTAACCAGCAGAGCAACCTGGCTAGGGCTTGATATACATGTGGTGTTTGTGTGTTTTTTTAATGAGAAGGTCTTTATAATGAAATAAAAGTTACTGTGAAGGACTATGATGCATATAGTCATTTAACATTCTTTTGTAACGGAATTATTTTCTGTATTCACATATATGCTAAGGTGTTATTAAGCATTAAAACCCTTTTTATTATTGTCCCAGGACATTTTAAAAGTAAAGGGGTTTTCCTGCTAGTAGAATACTTGCTAAAGAAAATATGTTTGTATATTTTAATAGTAATGTAAGTGAATACTACCTAATTTAAGAAAAAACTTTGGAACACTTTTACATTGCAACCCTAAAGTCCTGTAATAAAGTGTTTAATGCCTACATCATATTCTAATCTAGAATTGTTTCTTCTCTGAGTAATCTGTGCAAGCATATGAAAATCGGCATTCTTGGTGGTCATAATGGTTGATTCATTCTCTTTGGCAGAATGCCCTTCTGCCTGCAGGGTTCCGACAGAAGAACCAGACCTCAAAGTCTGCCACAGGGCCTTTTGATAGAGAACACCTCTTGTCATATCTGGAGAAGGAAGCTTTGGAGCATAAGGACCGGGAAGACTATGTGCCCTACACTGGAGAAAAAAAAGGTAAACACAGAATTTTGAAATCATTCACTAAGAGCACTTGATTTTTCTTTTTCTAGAGAGGTCTGAAGAAAACAGTATTTTTAGAGGTACATCATTGATAGCCTTAAAGATATAGTGCTGACTTAAAAAGTTGTTAGAAAATTTGGGCATTTAATTTACATTTTTTATCAACTTGGCCAATAAGTTCCTTCTTAATGGTTTGTTAGTGAGGTTTTATTACATAGTGATTTTTATATAGCACTCTTTAGCTCTCCTGTAATAAATATAGAAAGTGTACTGAGGTAAAACTTTTTAAATCAGTAGTGTATTATAGAATGGAAATGATGTCAAAGTGCTGCTCTCTTCTAACTCTTGTCTTTACAGTGGAATGCCATAAAATAATTCAGGCCATATTTTCAAAAGACGCTTTTTAAAGGAAATTCGATAGCCTTCCTTAGTAGTTCATAGTTATAATTGTCAATATTTTGTAATCATTGTTTTCAGGAAATTTTTCTAGTCCAAGTCCTTCCTATTGCAGATTTCAACTTTAGGTAGTCTCAGTGGAGCCTGAGTACAGCTATGTTTTTAAAGTAACACTTTATATGTTAACATGGGTTAAGTTTTTCTGCTTTCAGTACAGGCTGGCCTAAGCATCCAGATTCTACTTGCACTCTTGTATAAGATACTGCACATGAACCCTGGGGAATGGCGGGGAGCAGCCCTAGAGCTAAGGATCAGCTCCTTCAGGCACTGTTTTTACATCTGAATCCTTAGTGGTCTGGGCAGGAAGAATAGTTAGAGCATAGTGCTTTCTCCTAGTGAAGCATTAGCTGTTCATTTGCAAACAAATGAATTTGGCTACAGCTCTCTTACATATAAGGGAAGCCAAAAACTTTGTTTTAGTATTCTAGTCTCTGTAATAGAAGACTAGTAAATGACTTTTGAGTAGATATTCCATAAGGTCTGCATCAGACCTTTTTAAAATTATCTATCACCCTAGCTGGTTTGGCTCAGTGGATAGAGCATCAGCCTGAGGGTTTGAAGGGTCCTGGGTTTGATTCCGGTCAAGGGCATGTGTCTCAGTTGCAGGTTCGATTCCTGGCCTGGTCTGGGCACATGCGGGAGGCAACCAGTATGTGTCTCTGTGTCCCTTTGTGTCTCTCTCACATCAATGTCTCTCTCTCTCTCTCTCTCTCTCTCTCTCTCTCTCATCTCTCTCCCCCCTTCCACTCTCTCTAAAAATCAATGGGTGAGGATTAACAAAAAATAAAATTATCTATCATCCCCAACTCCTGTGTTTTTTCTGTAGACTGCACCTCGCCCCCACCATTTCTAGTTGAGAATCACTACCATAGCTACTTGAATTAGTCATGTTCTCCAGAGAACAAAACAGGGTGTGTGTGTGTGTGTAGAGAGAGAGTTATTTTAAGAAATTCGCTCATGTGATGTGGAGGTTTAGTAAGTCTAAAATCTGTAGGATAGGCCAGTAGACTGGAGACTCAGGCAAAAGTAGTAATTTGAGTCCAAAGACTGTCTGCTGGCAGAATTCCTTTCTTGCTCAGAGGAGATGAGTCTTTGTTAAGACCTTTAGCAATTGGATGAGGCCCACCATTATGTTTTTAATCAAAGTTCACTGATTTAAATGTTAGGCTCACCATCATAAAAACAAACAATATTTGACCATATATCTGGGCACTGTGCCCAGCTTTATTAGCACATAAAATTAACCATCTGTTAGAAGTGTTAATGTCAAGTTCCTCAGGTGTTTGGGCCAGAAAAAGATTTAAAAATCATGCATAGTTTAAAGTGTGGAGAAACTACGCAAAGGCATCAGTTCTATTTGTCATAGAAAACTCAGCTGACTCTATTATCATCTGCACAGCCATCGCTATAACACTATTTATAGCTTCAAGTCTGTTTATATAGAACATAATTTAATGAGAATAAATATTGGTTGGTTACCTTTTACTATTACGTGTGCTTCAGATAGACTTGGGGAGTAAAACTAGGAAGAAGAATAGAGGCAGAAACAGAGGGAGAGATGTGAGAAAACGAGATGGCAAGAAAAGAATATGGAATTGGAGGACAAGAAGAGAAAATAAGAGATATGAAGGAGCTGAATTGGTCCTAAACTGACCCAGGAAGTTTCCCAGTATGATCTTGTTTCATAATCACCAGTTACCTAGGAAAAGATCTTGGAGGATTAGAGGAGGTAGGAAAGAAGGTAGAGAATTATGGAAAACTAGAGGGCCCGGTGCACAAATTCATGCACGGGTGGGGTCCCTCGGGGTGGCCTGCTGAGATCAGGCCCCAGCTCGTGTCCCCAGCCTCGCAGCCCTGCCTGGCACCCTGCATTGGCCTGGCCCTGCCCCCTCAACTGCTCTACCATCCCAACTACGGGGCAGTCGATTGGGGCTGGACCCCCTGACTGGCTCCCTCAGTGCCTGGGAGCTGGCAGCGCCCCCCCCTCCCCCACTGCCGCCGCTGGTTGCTGTCTGTGAGGCGATCAGCGGGGCGATCAGGCCCCCACACGCACCTACCTTGGCCTGGCGCCTCCCGCTCACCTGCTCCACCAGCCCACTGCAGTCCCACTCTCTTCAGGGACGGCAGCACCTCCACTGCTGCCAGTGCCGCGCCCCCAATGCCCACCATGTTCCGCGCCACCCCCTGGTGGTCAGCGCACATCATAGCGAGCAGTCGAATGACCGCCCAAGGGGACAATTTGCATATTAGGCTTTTATTATATAGGATAAGAAAATAACGGAGTTGAGAAATTATAGAGGTGAGGAATATGGGTGACAATAAGGGGGGGAAATGCTGTATCCTTAACTAGGTGATAGTTTTTGTTTCCTTTTATATATTTAAATTTTTTTTCTTATTTCTCATGTTAGGTTTTAGATGGGTATGAAGTAAATGAAAGTAGTTGAATTAAAAAGCAAGTAGTTTTGCATTTACAATCAGTGGTTTTCTTTTTTATAATACATTCAGTATTTTTACTGCCTCTTTTAGCTATGTATGTCTGTTTAATATTATTTATGGGCAGCTATGATGCAGTGATTAAGACCATGGCATTGAAAAATAATGAACTTTTTATTGAAGTATGACATGTTTACAGAATATGCGCAAATCAGAAGGATAAAGATCCATGAATTATACAGTGAACACACCCATGAAATCACAAGGCATTACCAGCACCTCTAAAAGGTTTCTTTACGCTTTATCCCAGTTTCTTTCTTCTTTTCAAAGGTAACCATTACAGCTTCTAACATGATAGATTAGTTATGCCTAGTTTGAACTTTATATAAATGAAATCATACATTGAGGACCTTTCTTGCCTACTTTATAAAGTTTTTGTGAGAACCAAATTTGTTAAAGGGTACAGTGAAATCACTATAAAATCCTGTGCAGTGTAATCATTGTAAAGGATCGTATGGTGATGTTATAACCAAACAAGAGATTTACATTCTTGGAGGAGTTATCCAGAACCAGAGAGATGAATTTTTGAGTTTCAGCAATTCATCAGATCGAAGCAAATGCTACCACCCTAGACTCGGTGGGGTCAAGCCTTAAAGGCCATGTTACAGTGCCATAGACCTGAAGAAGGCAAATTCATCAACAATTGGGAACTTTGGCTGTAGAACTCTCCTTTGAAATATAGCTAAAAGCCAGCTCTAATCTTCTCACACTCATCCTAGGCTCTCATCCTTAAGTTAGTTAGCTTTGGTTATCATTAGTCCCTAATATGCCTTCCTTTCTTTGGGTCTCATTCCCAAAATCTTGATCACATTCAGAAGATCCTCAGAATAATTCGCCTATATGTTATTAGCATACTTCCCAGTCAAGCTAAATGTGAATTTTCTCCTCAACTCTGAAAATCCAAAAGATTGTTTTTTTAAGCATACCTCTCCCATGACCCTTTACTCTGAACAGGTTAAGTCCAAAGTTTTTTAATAAATAGCTTATTTCATAGGAGATAGACCAGGGGTCCTCAAACTACGGCCCGCGGGCCACATGCAATTACAAATATTGTATTTGTTCCCGTTTTGTTTTTTTACTTCAAAATAAGATATGTGCAGTGTGCATAGGAATTTGTTCATGGTTTTTTTTTTTAAACTATAGTCCGGCCCTCCAACGGTCTGAGGGACAGTGAACTGGCCCCCTGTTTAAAAAGTTTGAGGACCCCTGAGATAGACTTTCAGCTTGAGGATGCCTTCCCAGACTATAGAGGTTCTTTGTAAAACTGTTGGCAAACCTATCTCTCGTAAGAAACAAAAGCATCGCCCTAGCCGGTTTGGCTCAGTTGATAGAGCATCAGAATGGAGACTGAAGGTCCCCAGGTTCAATTCTGGTCTAGGGCACATGCCTGGATTGTGGGTTTGATCCCCAGTTGGGGGAGTGGGGGCGTACAGGAGGCAGCCAATCAATGAATCTCTCTCATCATTGATGCTTCTCTCTCTCTCCCCCTCTCCCTTCCATCTCTAAAATCAATAAAAATATATATTAAAAAAAGTAATCACCTTCATGTAAAAAAAAAGAAACAAAAGCATTTGCTCTTTTGGTGCACTTACTAGTAGACTAGTTAGAATTTGTTAATGTGCCATTGGTCTCTAAATCATTTTTATACTAAGATGACTACTCTATGATGGCAGTATTAACTTTCTGTGCCAGGAAATGTTATAGTGATGTCACTCCATTCCTTGAACTTCTTCCAAGTTACATGCCAAAATCACATAGTGATCCTTTACATTACTTTAGAGGTCAATCAGATGATACTCAATTGTTTTAAAGCAAAAAATTGGGAACCACTAAAAGGAATAGTTACCCAATTTCTCAAGTCAGCTACTTTCTCATATTCTGAGACCAATTAAATGACAATTAATTATATTTATTACTCTTTTGCTTTAAGGCTCACCCTCTTTCTAGAGCTAAAATTACATAGAAATGAACTGAAAATTAGATATTTCAGAATTTTTCCTTTTGACCATGAACAAAAACTATATACTCACACCAAATTTTATCTT